CTTATTGGAAATAAATCTTGATTGATCAAAACATATCGATTTAAATGCTTCATTTTCATTTAATGTTGGTTTTAGCATAGACCTTTTATTCTGAATTAAAAAATAAATATGCCCTGTGAGTTCTTTGATTACAAACCAAACTTGAATATCTAAAGTTAATAAAATAAGATGATATATATATACTTTTGTCTCAGAGGAATAGTTATTCTCTTGGTAGTTGCTCTTGATATCTTCCTGAATTAAAATATCACTGTATTCAAATTATCATCATATTAATATTCATCAAATATCTGAGAAGATTTTAATTGATCAAGAGCATAGATTGAGACTCCAAGACATGAAGGTATCCTAAAAACTACGACTGTGACTCCAACCTCTTGGGTGGTCATTTTATTAGTAACATCAATTTGATATGTGAAATTTCTGAAAGGCAAGCTAACTTGACTATTTAGAACTGCTTAATTGAAGTCAAGAGCAGTTACATTAAGACTAATATTTCTAGTTGTATCAGTAACCAAATTATTGATATCAACTTCATAGCTGTACTAAACTTGCGTAAAAATATTCATGTACCCATTGCCAGTGTAGTTTGTAATGCTAAATTCAAATAAATAATTAGTGCCAGCTGTCTTAAGTTTAGTGTCAGCAATTGTGAAATTTGTTGTGTTAAACTCAATTTTGTTTATATTTTCCCATAAAGTAAAATTCCTCTATGACTAAATTACTTAGCCATTAATCTTAAGATTGTAGAAACCTGTTCCTGTTGATCTATACCAGTAGTTTAAGTTAGTCTAAATTGCCATCATTGCGAATTTAGTAGATTGAATAGATCCGAATCTACCTCCTTGATTTTACTATGATAGCCAGTTCATGGCTAGATAAATTTATCTATCATAAAGAGTAGGAGTTATCATCCAAGCCATTATAGCTAAAGATGTCACTTCAATATCTAAATCTATTCCGGATGAACAGTATACTGTGGTAGAAGCTCCTCGTACCACACCTGAACTCTATTAGGCAGAGCTAATCAAGTCTAGGAATCTAATGAAGTAATTATCTTATCTTATTTTTTTAAGTCCTAATACCCATAAACTAAGGAAGTACGGATCACCCTACTTCACTTTATGCATTTAATCTGCAACTGCTTAAACAGTGAGATAGAGCTCGTAGTAATTGGCTTTAATATTAGAATCAAGAATCATATATAGAAGGTAGGCTTAGATATGCTGTTCTGATATACTATCACATTTTCTGCTATCTTTGAATGATGACTGACTGAGTATCATTGCTTTATATTTAGCCATTTAAGCTTACAGGTTGGATAATGCTGTCATATCAGCCAAGGATATTTGATACCTTTAATAAAAATTTGTTGTTGTGCAAATGTAATCACTAGGGTCTGAGCCAAACATTTCAAAGCCTTTTTCATTCTTTGATGCAAACTAACTATGTTTTTCTAAGTTACGTAGAATCTCATAAAATACATCCTCCCTCATCTACACTATCGAATTATAAGTTGTGTACTAGCTAAGAGTAGCTGGTAATATTTACATCCTTCCTAGCATGTCATAATTCTAGTTCATAATCCCACTTATGCCTTCGTAGAAATCGTAATTCTTTAGTTTTATACCATTTTCATACTACTCCAAAAGACTTTAGATCATTGTATATAAACTTCCGAATATTTTTGCTTTAAGAGTGACTTTGCCAGCTTAATTGACATTAGCAGGTATTTTAAGAGTTACATTTTAAGCGTTAGTTGGTACAATAGCTCTAGTTCCTAAGAAACTAAAGATGTTAGGAGTAATTTCCTAGGTTAAGTTTATAAATCCTCCTGCATAGGCATTTTAATTTACATATTGGGGATTGATGACCTAAATTGTTAAGTTCTTATATTGAGTGTTTCTTTATCCATTAAGTATGTAACTGACACCTAATTTAAGAGTTGCATTTTCGCCTACGGTCTAGGCTGTAAGTTATATGGCTCTCTATAAAGTAGATTATGCGTCTACTGTATAAACTATCGTAGTAGATATATTTGGTTTTAAGATTGGATTTGCCACTTCAATTATTGAAAAAGTCAATGGGAACAAATTATCATTTTAAACTTAGAATTTGATATTGATTTTATCTCCGAGACTGTAGAGAGAAGGAGCTGAAAAATCAATCTAGAGAGGGCTTAATGTTTGAACAAGTATTGACTGTTAGCCCAAGATACCAGTGATTTCTAATGCAGAAGCAGTAATTCTAAACTTAGTCGACAATTCGCTCATCTTAAAATTACCCTAATAGAATCCATTTTTAACTAGTTATTGTGACATAAAGGCCAAGTTATCTGTAGCATCGAATTCTGTTTCATTAATTATAGTGTTATGGTAATAGGATCTATAGAAATCGAATAATCTTGCATCATTTTAAGTTTGATCACTTCCGTAAGATAGTCCACTTGTAGACATATTAAAGGAATTTTCATCAGTTGTGGTTATATCTAGAGGAGCCATTTGAAGCATTGGGTCATAAAAGAGATATCCATAGAGACTCTGAACACGATTTCTATCTGCAATACTAAGACGGTAACCAGTTTCAAAGAGATATTTCATGCTCATCAAGCTAAATGTATTTCTTCTCCAACTTTAAATGGATAAGAGCAGTCCTAAATTAGTATCAGAAGATACTGATTAGTCCTCTGAATCAGTTGAGAATAAATGCTCTAAATATTGCTAAGAGTATGGCAAATGATAGTTAAGATTGAGTTTGACCTGATTTTGTAAATGAATCTTGGATGCCGCACTCATTGGCTTACTAGCTTCTCCTCTTTAGTTAAGAACATTTTCATCTGAGATTTGAATAGAGAGATAGCAATTTTTGGAAATAAGTTGACCTGTAGTTCTATTTGTGATAGAGACGTTAAAATAGACTTATTCACCGACAAGATAGGAATTTTTTTCTGTCCATATTCTCACATCTACCACGCTAGAAGGCTTTTTGAAGAACAAAGTTTCTCCTATCTAGACCATATTGTACAGATCTACTCTCATTTGCTAGGTAGCTGTTAGTTTAGTAGCGGTCTTTACTTAAAGTTTTCTTGGGGCAGTGGAATTTTTGGAATTTTTGGACTTTTTATAGGTATTCCAAGATAAATCAGGAATAAAAGATACAGGTGTAGACTGTGCGAGAATCTTGTCTTATTTAACTTAATAAATGCTATTGGTAATAAGAGTGGAGAGTGACTATTCAAGAGAAGAATCACTAGAAGAGTCCTCAACATTATTTATTGCAGAATTTTAAGAACATATTCTATTGATTGAGATTTATAAGACACCTCCATTCACGACATCAAATTTAGATGCTTCAACGGTTACAAATTATGTTGACTAATTCTAAAGAGATAGTACTTATTAGTATAGAATTTGCTCTTTAAGTGAGACCCAGAGTAAGTAACTGCAGTTAGCTCTGATCTTGCTATTGGTTTAAATTGAGACCATAAGATTTTCCTCATATCTTAGAACTTTATTGTTGTTTAAGACTCTAAATACCAATTCTTAGTCAGATTCTAATTCGGAAGAGTAGTTATAGTAAAGATATCTCTGTATAGTAATAAATTGGTTAGTAGCTTCATTAAAAACTCTAAACTCAAGCAATGGTTCGTAATCTGCCTAAGGAGTAAAGTTGAAAGAGCCTCTTCCCAAATGCACAGAATTTATATTAGATACTAGTACTTGATCAACACCATTTCCACTTCTACTTCTCTATTTCAAGACAGCACCAGTAATGGTTACATGATGCTTTCTGGTAGAGTGGGTAAAAGCTTCAAAATATATTGTATTTGGTATATCTCTTGTGAATGAAAAAGTATTAATATCATGATAAAAGTCAACGACAGTAAGACTAGGCTAGGCTATGATTAGAGGTATAGAATAAAGCAATTCATCGGTGAAAATGTTTGAACTCAGCTGAATGTTCTAATTTTAATACAGTATTCTTAAATCAATTGTCGTATTTACAATAGTAGTTCCAGTGGGTATGCTAAATGCTAGCACACCGGAGCCATCAGTACTCACGGCAGCGTTTAAAACATTGCTAAAAGTAGAGACTCCAAACTGGACAGTGTAATTGAATTTGGGCAGAAGATTAGAGTCAAGTTAATCTCCATTTTTCAAAGCAATATTGAAATTGCCAGTGACCTGATCTCCAACTTGATAGGCTTTGGCATTTAACTTAAAAGACTTGAAGATTATTTAGCGATCTATCTGATACTGACCGATCACAAATCTCTTGCGAATCTAAGGAATAATCTTATTATAAACCTTCAGGGTATGGGCTCCCTGCATCAGATTAATAGGTAATTTGAACATAAAGCAAGCCCCAAGAGAACCCATTTATACACTTGTTTCATAAAGGAGAGAGCCATTTGGCTGGTAAATTTCAACTGTGAATTTATATAGTATTGCTTGGAGTTTTATTCTCTCTTACAATGTTGTGTAGGAGAACCCAGTTTTATTAAAAGCGTTTATCAACAAGAACTCAGCTAATATCATATCACCTGGTTTGTAGATTTCCTTATTAAGTGTGACATAAATTTCTAGTCTCGGGTAAGTGGAGTTCATCATATATTAAGTTTCATTGTTCCAAACATTCTTTATCAAATTAAGGTTTAAACTGGTGGCTTGCAAATGTCTGAAATCAGAGGACACGGAATCGAAGCCTTCCAGCTCTCTCTAATAATCATTTTCTCTCTGATGATCACTTAAAAATTCATTAGAATCTTGGGCAAAAGCGAGAATACCGATAAATAGCAGAAGCACTGTTTTTACTATAGAATAAAGCATTTTTTCAATTATAATTTTGCTTTAATGTAATGTACTAAAGTATTTTTATGAATTAATATGAAATCTTAAAAATTAACTTACTCAATAATAGTATCAAATCTTAATCATTAACTTTTAGTAAAATTATCAGAATTTTTTTCATTAATAAGCATCATTTCTATTCATTAAATTTCATTAATCTTTACTCATACTAGTCTCGTCTAATTCACATTGACTCTCATTCGTATTTTCACTTTCATTCATTTGCTTTAGTAGCTTCTACTATCTATCGAATTCTTCATTGAGAATTTTCATCTTCTAACGCTCTTTTTCTATGATCTGCTTACTACTTATCCTTGTGTACTCTATTTCATCATTCAACTAAATGAGACGGTTTTATTTCAATGTTTAATCCTATTCTGCAGCTCTTTATTTATCATGTTTTTAGTCATAAAATTCTGCTTAATATTCATCATCAACATCATAGTCAGTATTTTATCTGTATCTAGTTTCCTACAATGATTTTTAGATAGATTGTCTTATTTAATTCATTACTGATTGAGGTTCATAAATTACATTTTAGTTCTTTTAATTGCTATCTTCTGTAACTGAGTCCAATGATTTATCTTGGTTTTCACTTATAACTGATTATCTTTTGGATGAAATTTTGTAGACATAACCTTAGCTATAGAATTTATTATCCCCAAATGACTCATTGATGTCCATTGCATAGGTTCTACTCATAAAATCACTAGTATCATTTCTATTATGTTTTATTATACTCTGAGCATGCTTATCTAACAATAGATTATTTGAAGATTAGGACAGCTGGATGACTTGCTTTTAGTTCTTTATTTTATCATTCAAATCATACTCCTATTCTGGTCCTTGTTTTGATAAGCTTTAGAAGTTTTAAAGTAGCTTTTAGGATCTTTGAAGTGATGAACGCCTTCTTTCCAAATCTTTTTAAGATATCATTGATTGATCCTAGATGTTTAATAATCTTTCTTAAGATTAGCTCTCCTCCTTATTGTGTAACTTCTACCTGATTTGACTTATCTTGTTAATAAATTTGTTTCTTGATAAACTTCTCTCGTGTGAATCGTTTAAATTTAAAGTCTGGTCATTTTAGTTCATAGATACTTGTTCATCCTTCATTGGAGTAATATGAACTGAGAATTCAGGTGACTATTCTAAATCATCTTAATTAACTGATTTGTCCTAAGTTTGCGAAATTTCACATTAGTCTTGATTCTCAACATCATCAGATCTTACGTAAGCTTACTTTTTATTCATGATACTTTTTAGCTTCAAATCAATGCTATTTCTAAGTTCATCTATTCCTTCTATTTTATCATTCTTGTTTTTATTGAGAGAGTCTCTTTTGTATTAATTGGAGCCTCTATTTTAGTCAGTTTATTCATAAGTATTACTTTAGATGCTATCAGTTGAGTTTAATAATATTTTAGAGTTTGAAGATCTTAGAGCATTCTAAGTGAAAACGAGTTAGTCTTGAATTTCCTACAGTTTTTATCTGACTATTGATGATCTCTTATCTTCAGGATTCATTTCTTGCTCTATTTATATAGATTGGTATTCAGACAACTTAGAATCAGTGTTAGTATCATTTAAGTTTTGAATTTAATCCTTTCTTCTTGTAGAATTATAGTTATCTTCCACTACTTTAAGACTAATTATGGCTTACTGACTTGATCTGCTAGTTACATTCTACTCATTGATATTGAAGGTTTCAATGTTCTTATTGCTTCTCCAATTTGTGTATTTAGTTTCCTAGAGCTTTTTTTCATAAATACTGTCGTACAGCTGCATCGTATTACTGTTCATCGTGTTATCCATTGAGAATATAGTAGTTTTATGGTCATTCTAACCTTAATTATGCTTTGACATCTAATACTGTGTTTTGTAATTCTGTCTCATAGAACTGTCATTATCACTGTTAGTAACTGGATTAAATTTCTCACTATTCTGGCTGCTTGATTACAATTATTAGGTTTCATCTCTTTTTACAAATAACTGGGAGTGTCTTTTGTCAAATTCATCATTCATATTCCTGCATCTATTTTTCATGTCCTTGATATAGCTCTTGACATCATCTCTATGTTCTAATAAGCTTTTATCAGTATCATCTTACTATCCTTCATCCATACCAATTGATGACTCCTTAAAACTTGAGAGAGCCAATTTTTTAGCACTTGCTTTAAATTAAATAATCTTATTTCCACTGAAACTAAGTTGGTTATTACTATCATGAGTTTAATCATTAGACTTCATTAGAAATCTTTTTGGGCTACCTCTAATAAAAGAATTTGATCTTGACTTAGAATTGGAGCACATTACAATAGATTAATCTTGATCTATTTTTATCTAAGACTCAGAGTTTTTGTCCTCAAAATCATATCTACTGTTTTTATTTAATGGTGGACTCATTTAGTAATCACATTTATTCTCAAGGATTTGAAAGTTTTATTCATTCTAATCTATATTATTTGAAGGCAAAATATTTGGATCATTCATATTCGAGAATGAAAGTCTTCTAACCATGCCATTTCTATCATTGTCAAAGTGATTATTATTGTCATAGGAAAATCTTTTCTAATGAGATTCATTAAATTAATCATTTAACTAGAGTTTCAATATTTTAAATTAGGACTAAGGCTAACCTATCGATTGTATTCTCTATTCAAAGTTGCTGTATTACTATTAAACTCCATTATTCTTATTTTGATAAGACTAAAATCTATCCTCAGCTTTAAACATAGAACCAGGATTCTTAGTGGTAAGGCTATTTAACTTGTTATTACTACTAAGATTTGAAATATCATTTTATAATTTTTAGGTATCATATTCAGTTTTAAAGTTTAAAAAGCTCTTAGTTTATTAAAGTTAGGCTTTTGGTGTCTAGAATGGATTACCATTCAAAGGCTTTTGATATATATTATTGTTACTACTCTCATTCTTAAACAAAAATTATTGCTGATAATTATTAGGAGTCTATTGATGCTATTTCTAAGCAAAATTCATCAGGATTTTTTAGCTAAATGTATTTTCTTTTTTCAAATAGCTCGACCTTTTCTCATTATTTTTCTACTTTTACACTGAATCTTGATTTGAATTTGAAGGAGGATCAAGCTTAAAATCCTCTCTGATCTTTTGAATGAGATTAATGTTTTTAGCTGAATAAGGTTGCTCTATGTTTGATTATTAAGTTTGGAACATTTTTGAATTAGTTTTACTTATGGTAGGAGAAAATAAAGTATTAGGTCGAGTTGATAAATTGCTTGGACTCAGGAGTAACTAATTTTGAGTAAGTAACAATTCTACTGGCCTGCTTTATATTTGAGGTTTTAATAAAGTTGGACTTTGTACATTTGTTTTATTTTCAATACTCATTCTCTTATCAGCTTAATATTCAGCTTAATTTTTTGGAGACAGATGAATCTCTGATTTATCTCTGTTAATGCTGAGGCATAACTGCTTTTTACTAGAAGTAAACGCTTTTTTTTGATCTTAAATGGAATTTATATTGCTAGTATGTTGTATTGCTTACTTTGTTTATATCTAGTTTTATATCTAAGGGTTAGATTACTTTTTGTTAAGCATAGTTGAAAAGATGAAAGGTTATTCTTATAGATCAGGGCTAGTTTATTTCTGATGAAAATCATTATAATTTAGTTTGCTAGTAAAAGTGGTTTTCTGTATTTTATTGTGAGAAGCAGTTTAGCTTGTCTGCATCATTTAGAATACTTTTAAAAAGTCACTCTTCAGAATGTAGGGCTAATCTATAGCTAAAGGACCTTTGATAGCTTTGATAAACATGGAGGCCTATTGATAACTAAGATCAAAGCATTTTCTCAAGAAATTCACAATATCGAAATCATAAATTTGCTCTTTTCCATCTAGTTAAGCTCATTTTAATAAGTCTTTGATGCTGAGAAATGACTTATGTCTATCCCAAATATGATCTCTAACCTAAATTTATTTTATTAAATGATTGTTTATCGTTACCTCATCAAATATGCTTTATTTAGAGCGTGGAGACGCTACATTAGAGAAGCAAAGTTAATTCATTTACAGTTAATTTTAGTTTATTAAGTTGCGGGTGGACAAATTTGTAGGTAATGAACTGTTAATTTACATTTATATTTTAATTTAGGTTGTTTATAAATTTATATTAATTTAATTAGCGAATATAATTATTAATCTTTATCAAAAGTATAATGTACCTCTGACATTCTAATGAGCTTCTTCCTCCTCCTTTAAATGCTTTTTAAACTTATTCATTCTTCTTTGCAAATCAGTGTAAATTTCAATATTTCTCTGAATAATCAGCTCCATACTATTAACATAATCATCGATATCATACTCTACTTGCCCTATTCCTTATACATTAGAAATGAGTTCACCTTCTTATGTGAGCAATTGAGCAGCTTCCTTTAGATATTACAAATGCTTATTTCTTAGTTCCTCCTCTTCTTCTACAATTTTATCTACTTTTTCATGTAAAGTAAGTAATTATGGGTCAATCATTTATTCACCAGGGTTAAGATTGATGGTATTTTTAAGGTAGTTCCAATCCTCTTTCTTTTTTTACTTCATTTCTCTAGGAGTGTTGTCCTCATCGGAATAATCCTTTTGCTTCTTTTCATTTTTATTGGGTAAATCACCAACACCAACCCACGGTGCTCTCTTCTTCTCCTCTTTCGGAGGCTATTATTGAGGTTTAATGTTTTAATTTTACGGTGCTTTATTTTCAAAATTTTATGGTACTTATCTTAATGGCTGTTATTATTGTTATTATATAACTGGCTACAATTAAATCTATGGTTTAGGCTATTAGAATCCTACAGCATTAGGATTATTATGGTCAGTGGTGGAGTTCGACTTCAGTCTTTAAGCATATCTCAAAGTATTCACAGTATGATCAGCTGATGAACTTCCTGGACTAACACAAGCAATCATGACTATTTTAGAGCTGCCCTCATTCAAGAAAGAGTCTCTTAAAACCATAGTTAACTTAGAAGCTCTGAATGGTACGTGAGAACTTTTCATATCAATAGCTCTGATACACTCCTTCAATGCAAGCAAACTCTTGTTAATTTCAGCTCCTTCTATTCTTCTCTGACGATTATTACTTTGAGTATCTTAAGCTCTTTCAGAACCAGCAAGATCGACTAGCAAAAATTTACCTATGGTCTTTCCATTAGAATCTCTCACATTGATTTAACAGATAGCATGACTTCTACTAGATGTGTCATTTGCAACAGTTTAATGAGTTGTCCTAATGCTATGGCCAAAGTTGATAATATCAAGCATTTCCTAATCACTTCTAGCTTATTTTTCCTCAAGACCTTAAACTTGAATTCTTTAATGTCTATCCTCAAGAATTTAAAGTTTCTTTTTGCCATTCAATAGATCCATGACCTTGCCACCATAAATTTCAAAGAAACTCATGAAAAAAGTGACTCCTAGTTGCTGATTTTACTTTGCAAGTACATATAAATCTCTAACAGCAACCTGAGTTGTTGCGTTTACAGTAAAAGTTTTTCCTGAGCCAGTTTAACCATAGGCAAAACAAGTGACTACACCATTTTTGAATAAGTTTGGAAGCAATGATTTAATTTGATATTCATAGACATCATTAGATCCTTCCTTTTCTGAGAATACATTATCGAATTTAAACTCTTGGTCCTCAATGTACTTCGTAATACCATCCACTCTCAATTTACATTCATGAACTACAATCTTAGGGTTTGAAGCACTCACACAATCAATTTCTCCTGCTGTAAACTCCTTATCAAATAATGGTCTCTTTCTTACGCAAACACAAAGATTCATTTAGGATGAGCTGATATGATTCATTGGAGCATTTACCTTCTTTTTGTGCTTTTCAATTAGTAAATCGAATTCAGCATCCACATTTTTCCCCTAGGCCTCATTCTACAACTATCTATCTAGCTTAGCTTATTTCATCTCCTCGAGCTTTTTTCTTCTATCATCTCTCTATTACTCCATCTTCTTTATGTTATCTACTACGCTCCCACTAGCAGGCTTTTTCTTTTATTATTGGGATGGAGGTGGTTGTCGGTTCATATTTATATAATTATGTTTTTAAATTTCATAACTTTCAAATTACCCTTCATTCTATTTTTCAGGGGTTTTGGGGTTTTGGGGTTTTGGGG